GAGGACAAAGTAAGTTAGCCTTCTACAACTGAAGACATATCTTCAATTTCATTAATAGATAAATTTTACGAATTCCAGGTACTTTAGCATTGACTAGGGTATCATGAATCACATGATTGGGATTGGACTACTAATGAATAATCTCAGGACCATATTTGTCAGAAAATTATATTCTAGGAAAAGATGGGGTCATATTTAGCTGGAATAACTCTCAACAAAGGCTTTTGTTTCAACTGTGGAATAAGCTAAGTATTTCTGAAAAAAATAACATGAGGTTTTAAGTAAGGAAAGCTGCCTAAATCCAGCCAATGGGAAGTGTTTAACTCAGGAAATTAGAGAGAATTTAGGCTAGCTGAATATGGACCTAATTATATTATTTCCATCATGATAGTCTAAATGAAAAACATAATATTTACTATCTGGCTGAATTGTATCATGTTTACTTTGAATTTCAATTTCTATTTTATATATTTTCTGATGTATCTTGTCCCACAGCTCAAATCTGCCAGGAAGAAGCCATTGTAATAAATGTTTGGTCTATGAAGTTGAACGTTTAACTAATGCAATGAAAATATCCATAATCTTTTTCTTAATTTTCATGATTAATTTTTAAGATACTGTGTTTAAAAGGTGACATCCTCATCCTAGAAGTATGATTGTTTTCCTTACTCACAAGCAAACTTTTTATTTCACAGCGTAACAGAAGACCTCATCATCTGAGAAGGTTGCTTTATCTACTTTTTTATACTGAAAGGCCTAGTTAGTTTGCTCTTTCATTAAACTTCTTAAGTCCCTAAGCCCTAAAATTCTTATGCATGTTTACACTCAGTTTTAACTTTTTAGTGTTCAGTACTTTTCTTGAAGTACAACCAATACTGCATTTTAAGTACAAGAAACTCTTTATTTCTGTCCTTTGTTTTACAAATAACTTTTTACATATATGTGCAGAATACTGTGAGACATTTTTAAGGTAAGAAATTATTTAACTAATACCTTGTCATTTTAGGAAACCCAAACTCCAAATGTTGCTGTGTGTTACGTATCATTCTTCAGTAATTCTCTTTCCAGCTGTTGTGAAATACTGATTCTTCTGTTGACCTTGGAAGTTTTTTTCACTGAATATCAGAATTAATTAGTTTGCTGATTTTGAACCATAATACAAACACTATGTTGCCATTCAGGCTCTCTTCTAATATGCAACACTGTCCAAGACATTGTTCACCAGCAGTGGAAGCTACTCTATGTTTAGAGTTTCTATGGCAATTGTGGAGAGATGTCTGCCTTGGATCAATAATGTTCGGGAATTTAATTTCTTACATTTATGGACTGATATCTGAAATAGGTTAAGAATGCTTAGTTCTTTTTTCCAGTCAGTTAGAAGTAATATAGCTAGAAAAGAAGCTATAGCTCTGTTCATTTAAGGAGTCTCTAGGTGCAGTTCAGATTGTGTCCCTGATGACTTTTGCCAATATATGTTTATTTAACATTCGTACGTCCAGTTTTCTGGGTAGCATTCTGAAATGGAGAGCATGCGATAACACTGTTCACAGGCTGCTAGACCCATCCCATTCACAGATGATTCTTTCCATAATGGCTGTATTAATAAAATAGGAAAAAATGTATCTGGCAACATGGCAGCAAACAATTAGGACAGACAACTGGCCAAGCAGTGAAGCACTAGAGATTTCCTGCAGAGGTCGTAGAGCCTTTGGCACCAAGAGCCTTTAAGAGGAGCTTAGAAGAATGACAACAGTACAATTTGTTAGGATTAGGATATGCACTAAATGACATCTCAAGATAACTTCCAGCTGTACGAGTCTGAGATTTTGACTCAGTTTTTAACATTGCCAACATACACATACCTTAACACCTCAGCCAGATTCAAGTCTCCCCCCACTCCAATCATTCATCCCTTGGGAACCTTGGATAGATGCATGGCCTTCGCATCATGTCCTGAGGGTTATATTAATCATCCTACCAGCTGACTGCAGTATGCACTACAGTCTTAATTCCTCTGGCACCTTATCTAGGGCTTGCAGTTGAATACACTATTGCTATAGTGAGAGTGAGGCTGCAAGAATTGCTCCCTTTAGACAAGATTTGTGTCATCCTTCCCCACTTTTAATCAAAAGCTTGCACATGCACTGACTGCAAAAGGCTTGTCACATAGACATTTCTAGACTTAAAAAGCCTTCTTTCTTCTCATGGAAAATAATATTTATTTTAAAAGATCAACTGAAAAAAATGGAATACTATCCCATACACAAGTTGCTCAAAGCAGTACTTTAGTTTTGCATCACATCCGGAAGAAGTCCTGAAAAACGTGGGCTGTTAGGATCCTACGTGGGCTGTTAGGATCCTGTCTGGGCTGTATATTGTTTCTCTCTTCTTATCTATGTGATGGACTGCTTTGCTTCATTAACCTAAATATCACCTCCTCTAGTTAATGGTTGGTTTCTAAACCCATTTTCATATCAACCATCACTTAGTGCTGTACCATTTCCTCCCACCAAGCTTGGCTGTGGTTGTCTCCCAGTGGTTGGAGCTCTGAGCAGCCACTCTTGCTGAGGTTCCTCTCCATCCTGGCAAGTTTAGCCATTTATTTAGACTCCATTTCGAAGACTGCTTAGACTAGCAATTCCTACAGCTTAGGCACAGGACTGTTGTAAGGGTTCAGTGCTGATACTCTTAACATGACTGTCGATTCAACTGATGAATTCAAAGGGAATAGGGTTCAGCAAACACCGCTGCTGTAGCTTGGCAAACCAGGGTATTAAACAGCTGGAGCATAGAAACATATCTCTTATTTCACTTTTCTACTGACTTAGATGTTGAACTACCGTTCTTTTCAGTTTCTCAGCCTGTTTATTCATTTAGGAAGGCTCTTCAGACGACTGCTCATCACACGGATGCAGAGCAAAGATGGATTTCTGACTCACTGGAAATAGAGTGCAATGTGTGTGTGTGTCTGTGTTTTCATATATGTAGCTTTAAACTGGTTCAGCTTTATTTCAGGAAGTAACAATCAAGGTCTGGATTTGTAAAATCATGAGATACAGTTGTAATGTTGCCTGAATGAGCCCAACAGGCTCAGGGTTATGCTACCTACCTGGTGAACGTATTAGCTACGGTGCTATTATTACAGATCTTTGGATAGTAAGTCATGCTAAAGACCTCTATGCCATGCAAGAATATAAAGTGAATTTTCCTTATCTTGGCTAGAATTTCTTTTATCCATCTATTTCTGAGGTATTGGAGATTTGAAATTTATTGTGCATATATATATATGTGCTCAGTCCTCAGAACATCATAGGACTACTCACAGAACAGTCTAGGATTTCTGATTTTGCATAGTATTTGCACAACTGAGTAGCTATGAATACTCTGGCTATGAATACTATCAGCATACTACAATTTTCTACTTTTCTAGCCATTTCCTTATGTTATTCTAGGTGTAAAATTAGATCCCCTGGTTGCTACTAAATTTAACGCTCACTTCCCGAGAAAGTTTTAGTGAAAATTGTGAGCACAACAATGAAAATAATAAAACCTTATTCCATCCTCTCATACATATACTGATCTTATTTCAGATAGACAGTGCTTTTTTCTTCTGTTTTAAGTTTTGCTGAGTGAACTTAAAGATGGCAGTTACATGAGCTACTCTGTACAACTGGATACACAATGGCTATTTTGTACATAAAAGCATGCTATAAAAAGTCTTGTAATAGACATTAGAGAAAATAATAACTCTACCTCGTATATGTTGAAAGATGACGCATTCACGGAATGTTTTATATTCATCTTACTATGGAAAATAATTATCTTTTAAGTTTGTTGAGGTAAATTCATAAAAACAGCTGTAAATCTTCCATTACAAGCAGTAAGGAACTGATTCCTCATCTGCTTCACTGAGGTCAATTAAAAGATTCAGATAAAGCACTGTGCTTCTTTTATCATGAAACAAATGTTTTTGGAGAATGTTTATCTTAAGAGCAAAATCAAGGTTGGTGATCACTCTAATAGGCTGATGATAGAAAAGATGCTGTATGAAAAAATAATTTTTAAAAAGGTGTTAAGATCAACTGAGAAGAATTTCAAATGCGAATAAATACCACTATAAATATTCTAATCCTGCAGTGATATATCATGGAGTAATTAACCCAGGAGAACCACTCATCTTGGCGGGGGATAATCAGGTTTATAATAAGCTTACTCCTCTGGACGTTCCATTTCATTCCCTTCCTCTCTTTACATATGCAAACGCATTTTCTGCATGCAAAGTGTGTATTTATTTGCTTTTTTAGATTAAACTAGTTAGTGTCTCATGGCATACAATGTCTATGTCACATGAGCAAAGAAGGCCAAAGTAATCAAGAATATGCGTATTTAACATCAGAGTTACAAAGGGTTTAGACGTATTTCTGCTATGCCACAGGGCATAGATCTATTTGTACCTATAAAGAATTTATTTAATGACTTTGATCAGAATACTTAGACCTTTCCAGGAGATATAAATTTGCATCTCAAAAAAACAGCTCTCGGTTTGCAGAGTTATTGAAAGAACATAAATATCATAAAGTCATTTGCAGTGCCTGGAAGGCATTCTTTTTTACAAATTAGTCTTTGTTTATGAGTGATAATTCATGCCTGAGTTTAACCTACAGAATCTAAGAGTGAAATCTTGATCAAACTGAAATCAGTGAAAAATCTTTACTTACAAACAAATAATTTTGCTTCATCTCCTCTATTCAGGTTTGGCGAGGTTCGGAGAATTTGACTTCTTTTTATAGAAAGGTGTTTTCTTGTAACCTTGCCCAAATCCAGAATATTGAGAGTGAGTTTTAAAATTACAGAGACGCCCAGAAACCAGACTGCAGTATATTATGCATCCAAATTTACATTTTCAAACATAAAACATGATAAGAAATCAGACTAGATAACGTTCCTGTAGTTTCTGAGGTATTAAGGTATTTTTTTTAAAGGTTACCATTGTACAAAGTTGAGTGCTTTTATATACACACACATATAAATGTATATATATAATGTGGTTTATGGAGTCAAAATGTTTAATTAAAGGTAAGGGCTCCTATGGAGTAAATAGCATGCTTTAAGTAATGTAAATGTGGAAATGTGACAAAGTACATACTTTAGTGCACAGGTATGTAATTAGTCTGTACTTGATTATTTTGCCTTACAGAGTTTCAACATATATATATATATGCTTCAGTGTTATGTGTGTGCTTGTTTTCCTTGGTGGAAAATGTTATATATATATATGTGTTAGCTTCTTTGAAGCTACATTTGGAAACTTTTATCATAAATATCTGTTGCATAATTTGGTTCCAACTTGTACTTTAGACTAATTACAGGATTTATTGTTAATTGTATATATTAATATAGCTTTTACATATTAATGATAACTTTGAAGTGGAACTGGATCCCTACCATTTACTCTTCATGTGCTTCTATTCCTACATATTTTACATGACTAAGGATTAAAACATGACCTTGACATAACTGTAAGCATAATTTCACTCAACATTTTCTCTCTACTTTTGTGTTTGCGATTAAACTGTTACTTCTCTTTCTCTCTCTCCCTTAGTTACACAGTAAGGATTTTTGAATGTATATTGTCATCTAAGGTAAGCTTTCATATGATTCTTGCATATGAAGCTTATGTCTGTTTACACGTCATACAATGTCTGCCTAGTATGGCATGATTTTCATTATTTCAATTAATGAAAATGTGGGGTTTTTTTAAATGAGTAGCATGATAGTTTTAATGCATACAAATCCAGAATTCTATAACTATTTGTTACAGTAATTCCTCTTGGTAGAACATCCCACTACCTTCTAATAGTGCATGTTTCAATGGATTTTACTGGTGCCTGAGGTAGCATGATTAATTAGCATGAATAAAATGCAAGCAATAAACCAGCATTTACAGTCAGTTATTTTTATATAGGAATATACCTCTACATAAATATTTATTCCCCAGTTAATTTTATTTAAAAATGAATGATTCGTATCACAACTTGCACTACATGAATTGAAAAGAATGCCAAAAAGCATGCCTGGTTTGGTTTTTTTTTTTGGACTGTATTATGCATCTGCCTCAGGTCAGGAGCGAACAGTTCTGCAACAGCGATGGTGGAAAATGAGAGAGTGCAGTTCCATAATTGCTAGTAACTAATAGCACTTTAATTGGATAATTCTTGTGTTAATAGAGGTTACACATTTCTAAAAGCTGTACTCAGAATAAACACTGTATGCAAGTATCAGTTCAGTCGCATTTAGATGAAGCATTCAGAGACAGTTCTATCTTCATCCTGGCAATGTCCTTTTGGTTTAAAGCTTTTGATGTGTTCCAGAAAAGGCTCAGAAGGTAAGTTATCACCGAGTGGTTTTGCAAGTTGCAGAACAGAATATTCACGCAGAATTGTAAGAGGAATAGTAATGGTACACAGCTTTCTTACAATGAATGCTACCATTTGCCTTGAGAAAGGGTAGACTCTAATTTTTTTAGCAAAATATTTATTTTTTTCCCACTGTCTTCTAAATGTCATTTGATTCAAAGAAGTCAACAGAAAGACCCATGTGTAGTTTCTGTGACATATTTTCCGTGGCATGAAACTGCACTCCTAATTCGGATAATTTGCATTAAGTTACTGCCTTAGCTTGCGTATGAGACCCTATGTCCACATTTTTCTGGGCACTGGAAGAAATACTTTGTCTTGGATTGCTAAATGTCCTTCAAAAATCTTTTGCCTTGTCAACATCAAAGAAAACATTGAGTCCTTCCATTGGCTTTCTTATAAGCCCACCTTTCTATTACGGCAGTGATTTAAAATAGGTTTGGTTCTTTTTTTTTTCCTCATAGTGGCTAAGCCACCGTCATAAAGCACATAGACCTGAAAGTCTGGGAACAGTACTTCTGATGCCCATTCAGTGAATGTTGACTCCCACCATTGTAAAACTGGAAGGAAAAAAAAATAGTTTCACAGAAACAGGAAACAAAGTTTTGGCAGGGCTGGAAGAGACCCTGAATACAAAAGGCCCCTATTTGTCAGTGGGGCTGGTAATCACCGATCCACACTGTTGCAGCTGAGGAAGATACTGGCCATGACCGTGCAATAAGTCTCCCCTATGAGTTGGTGCAGGATCCCCCACAGCTTTGGGATCACATTTCAAGAGTTTCAAGCCCTGGGAAAATTAGAGCTTTCAAGGAGTAAGCACCTGCATCCAAGGTGATTACATGAGGTTTTATTCAAAAGAGAATTCAACTAATTCTTGAGACTTCCTCAGCAGATGAAAGTTTTGTCTTTCAACACCTCTTTCTGGAATGTAAAGGCACCTATATCTAAAATCCTGGGTTTTTTTTCCATATGATTCGTTTCCATAGGTCATCCCACCTGTTATTTTCAAGCAACATGGTAAATATTTTGCTAAATACTTATAAAACATTTTAAGACCCAACACTAGAATAATTTGAATGTGTCTGCATGTTTTTCACAACTCATAGTCAAGTGCTTTCTACATCGTTCCCTCCGGGCTGACTTCCATCTCTGACTGTACTCCACCCAACCTGATGGAAATCCAGGAGGGTTATTTGAGGTGAAGCTTATCCTAGACTATTGCATGGGGTGAGATAAATGACTGAATATATGGCAGCCTAGAAAATGAAATTCACCCTGTGCAAGAGGACAGGAAAAATCTGTAAGTAACAGAGATTAAACAATAGTTAATTCTCGTGCTGGACTTTTGAACAGGGATGAATTCTATCACATGTCAAAACAAAGGACACAGCAGGGACTGACTAATTCTTTCTCGCTTACACCAGAAAATAAAGGTACAAAGCTGTTGCTCCAGGGACTTTAACCTGAAGATTATCTTATTCCTTGTTTGTAGGTGGGCTTTCGTTCTTCCGACTACTGATGGATGGAGTGCCTCCGCATATCATTGATTCATATATGCGCGAAGTACAGGCAGACAAAACTGAGGGGAAGTGAGAGTCCGTCCACAATGTTTCCTCCCACGTGCTGGAAACTGGTAGCAGAAGTACAGCATTTTAGTTCTTGCAATGAGAGAACAAACGTGTGGTCGGGCATTTTCTTTTCTTTTTCTTTTCTTTTTTTTTTTTTTGTTTCTTATCTGTTTTGTTTTCCCTACCTGCTCTTACTGAAAAGAAAGAATACGCATGGATTGCTTTGGGGTTGAAATGAAATGAAATGAAGACAACACACGTTTTGTAATGTTCAGCTTTATTTTCTGTTTGATATTGTGTTCTGTTTTTCAATGAGAAAAGAGGAGAAGCTGTACAATAAACACAAGGAGGCAGAGAGTTTGTACTCACTGGTACAAAGCATATCTTTCTCAGATTGAAAGTACATGGATTAGCCACTAGTCGTGCAATAAGACCCTTGGAATACATACCTCTGATAATGTATCTTATTCACCTGAGAATTGTTAAGAAACTGTGGTTTTACTATAATTAATACATATGTACTTAATGATCATTTAAGCTGAACATACCTTCCTTTAGAAGTTTTGATTTCCTAAATCCAACCCATCAGTCTCTCAACTGAACTGAAATTGTTTTATTTAATGTACAATAAATATGAAGTGTTCAAGACCTATCAAGTTCTTGTTTACTACTTTTTTAAGTGGTTTTTTCTGTCTTGTCTGGATACATTTCTTGTTTAATTTCCACATACCCTAAAGCAGGAACTTGAGCCCACCAGACTGAGTAGAAGAAAACATCAGCCCCATACAGGCTTACTCTTTAAGATACATGACACGGAATGTATGCAAAGATAAATGCTATGGACACGTGCAATTTTTTTATCTATAGATATTCAGCATTTAAAATATTACAGACACCAATTGTGATAGTTTTCATCATTCTGGATCCATTCCCTTTTTCAGTAATTCATGAAGCTCTTGTAGGTATCATAGCAGAAAAGGGACCCAGACCATATCACCAAGCGAGTTTACTGTGTAAGACAAAAATGCCTTAAATAAGGTGAAATGGCTACATTACTCTTCCAGCTCTAGTGTCATCAACCTCCAAGTATTTCAGGAGTAGGGGTGATTGTCTGTAAGCCTCCAGCAAACTCTGAAGCATGTGAGACACAAGGTCACGCATAAACTGGCCAGCTTGTTGACTGCCTATTGACCTGTCATTTATTTGCCAGCTCTCACTCTGGCTGTATAGATAGGGTACCTCGTGTGCTTAAATGACTAAAGAATGAGTTTCAGTTATGGTTTATAACGATAAAGGTCTACTTAGGCCTGCACATTCCAAGATGGTTATTTGTCATCAGCGCATTTTCAAACATCCCGCAGTCACTAATTATGCAATAATAAAATGTTACTATGGACTGCCACTGCTGAACTGGTGTTTTTGCAGTTAAATTACCACTTCTTTCACTTTGGGGATCAGAATGCATTTTCTCACTTTGTTCTGTAAATCTTACTTGCTCCAAGATTCTTTTTCTTCTTTCTCTCATTTCTATCTTTATGACTTCTTCCATGCTGCCATCTGTGCAGGAAAGTACTTCTCCGTTCCCCGGCCGCACACTCCCACCTGCATTTCCTCCTGCCCCTACCAAAATCAATTCTCTCCTACATATTTGTTCACACTTACACATGAAAGAACACAACACATCTACTAAGGAGAAAATTTCTTTATTCTGTATCGCACCAGTGAATCGGGACTCCCTTCTTCTGTTTCGAAACACAGAAGGCTATGGGGGAGGGTTGGTCTGAATATATGCCACGCAAGTTTAAGCACCTAAGCACACAGCCCTCACTTGAAATAATATCAGTCTGTTGAGATGTATTACGGTCAGCACCAACAGCTATAGTTATTGTGAGTTCATGCTCTTCAGTAAGCCAAAAAGGACCGGCACAGACATCTGCATCTTGTATGCAATGATGTTTACAGCTTCAAGCTTATGTATCTACCCGCCTCCTCAGTCTTAATACACCATACAGAACAACCTAGCAGCCAGCACAAATCTCAGCTTCTGCAGGCTCTCTGCCAATGGAATTAGTTCCTCTAATTTCTACACGGGCTGAACTAAGCTCCTTTTCACTGTGCAAACGGTAAGCGTTTTATTTGGATGCCCTTAATTCCCCCCCAGTTGTGTTGCTCAGCATTTGCCATTGGCTGCCCCTCGGGCTCGTGATGCGCTGGGCCAATAGGACGTGCTGGGTATTGGGCCATGGGTGGGACTGAGATGAGCGAGCATTAGTGTGCTATAAATTCATACTCTCACTAACCACACTGACCAGCCAAACTCTGGATTAAAAATTAATGGAAAATGGCTTTGAGAGGAATGGTAGAATGTGGGGTGGGATAGGAAAGGGATTTCTACTAGGTCTAAAACAGGTTGCAGAACCTTAAACTGAGAACAGCAAAAGATAAAAATTCTGATTTATGGTGATTTTTCTAATGGGATTCTCCAGGGACGATGTCTGACAGATGAAATAAAGTGACCAAATCCACAGAGTTAAGAAATGCTAATGAAATCTGCAGTTAATAACAGCTTGGGAGACCAAAGACAACAAAAACTACAGAAGAAACAATCTGGAGAGAATAGAAGCAGCAGAAGATCACGCTGTAGAAGATACTGCCCGATGCTCCCAAGAAAATTATTTCTACAAAGTCAGTCGACATTGAATTTCCAGGAAATTAATAAACCTGAAAGAGACCTAGAAGTAACAGAGGACAGTGAACAAAACCTGGTCCCATGAGATATAGTAACAGCAAAACACAAAAGCTAAACGAGAAGTGAAACTAGCAGTTCTTATAGGCTTATGGTTGTGTCCTCTGACGCCTCATAATACATGAAAACAGTTTGTTTTCAGCTAGTTTATTATTAACATTAGCTGTTTGCTGTGTACACTCTCCATCAACTACTACGTGCTGAGGCTGTAGGTCAGCATCACTTTTAACAAGGTTTTTCTTTTTGACACACTTTCACATATCTGGTAAGGCTCTAATATTTTTAAAAGCTCTGCCTTGGTGTTCACCTTGACTTATACAGGTCAAGAAAAGTTATTATTTGGAACAAGAAGGCAGACCCACACACGCATACACACAAGGACTCACACACAGAGAAAGAAGAATTGAAGTTCATAAAAAAGTGGCTTATTTTAAGGAAGCCAGATTCCTCTCTTCTGTTGGCCTGCTCTCCCTGTCCATGGAAGGGCACTTGGCATATAAATATTAGTGTTGTACAAATACAGACCCATTCTCAAATTGCTGTATGTGGAGCTTGATACAGGCATTGTAATTACCCACTGTGTTGAAAGATCATGGCCAATACTAGCCCATTTTTCCCTCACTGTAAACAACCTCAAATACAGAAAGGGGAGGAAAAAAACCACACATGCAAATCTTTTAAAGAGTGCTTAAGTTGGGATATGCTGTTATAAGGAAGTCTTTACCGAGAGTCAGAAATTTTTAAAAATACTCCTTTTATAAAAAATGTTGCAAACTTCCTGTACTTCCTTTCAGGGGGAAAAAACCCCAAAGTATAATATTGCTACCTTTTACCGAGCATTATAAAGGAAGAGTTACTTTACAAGAGTCTTTTGTTGCATTTTGAAATTCTGGAGCAAAAGGCATTCTATCTTAAGCACCATGTACTTACTGTCACTTGATTTTCATGGCTTGCTTTCCTGACTGACATGTGAACCTGCTGCTTTGCTGAAGCAGACAGCATTTGGTAGCAAAACTGTATCCTGTATACTGAGGCAGCGTTGGAAGTCTAAACGCACTGTGCTTTAAATTCTACGTTCTCTTGTTCTGTGCTTTGTTGCTAAATACATTTTTAAATTAAAACAAACCCTTCCCCAAGCTGAGTGATAAATTCAGTGGTTAATCTACTTCTTCCTCTACTCATGTGGCCCTCACTTTTTTATACCACTTACTTTTTCCTTCACTTCTTTTCCTAGTTTGTTTTTTTCTTCTTTTCCTTTCTGTATCACAGAGAACTTGAGCAATTTCCCCATGAGTACCAGTACCATTACGTTCACTGACCACAGGGATGCACAAGGTATTAAAAGAAACAGAAATTTACCTTTTTTTCCAAACTTAGTGATTGTGGCAGACAGTGGATCTGGCTGATTGTGAATCTAACCGTCACATTTCTCTTTTGCTAGTCTCTAGCTGGCTGTTATTGAATCTTTCATTATTATGTCTCACCACCTCCTTTGCTGACATTTCCTCTCTTCTCTGTTTTTGCCTCTGTTTTCAGTTACAGTATCATACTGTATTTAGTGATTTAGATTCAGCTGATGAATGCCATAGCACTTGGGACACACATAGCATGTCAAAGGATTTTGAAATCAGCCTTTTTGCATGTGTCAAACATTTCTGACCTTTGCAGTAGAGAAATCTACTCAAAAACGTATTAACTTTATCAGACAAAGCAAATTAGCTCACTTTGAATAACAGGAAATGCCTCTGTCAAGGAAATTATTGTGTCTGGCCAGAAAGCCTGCAGCCTCTGGCTCAGAATGGAGTAACTTAAATAAATACTCCTGATTCTAAGATGCCATTTGGGTATATAACACTCATTAGAGGTTGTATTTTACATTGTCTCCTTCATCCTTCACACAGCTACACAATGCTCACCTTTTCCTTGGCCACATTCAGAAACCACAGACCTCCCTAGAGATTCAGAGATATCTCTCTACCAATCCAAGTCATCTTGATGCGTCAGCGTATCAGAAAAGGTGGTACTTGCTTTGAAGCGCCTTCCCTAAGCAGGGCAAGAAGGTCGAGGCAGGCCTGCATCACCCTGTGCCCAGGCGGCCTGTAACACACCAGACCACCGCTGCCCAGGCAGCAACCTCCTCGCGGTGCCAGAGGGAACCCTTGGCTGAGAGAGCGGCCATCACCTCCCTGCAGACACATGCTCATGGACACGTTCACCTGCCCCTCAAACCCTGCCTTGACGCCTTGCTGCAGCAAACGGCCTTGCCGGCCACCTGCTGC